TCTTTTCTTTTGTTTTCCTTTTCCCTTTTCTTTACTTTATTTACTAACCTTGATTTAAAACCAAAGCCTTATTTCTCAAATTTAAAAGGGGCCCAACTAACTAAAAACAATGGCCCAAAACAAGAAGCCCCAAAACTACACTTTAGAAAAACGAATAAACCCACAACAACCCAAATAAAATAGTTAACTTAAACTCTAAAACCCAAGAATAATAATTCAAAGAAAAGTAGAATTTATGAAGGAAAATCCTAAAACCCCTGAATTTAAGATTTAGCTAAAAATCTCCTACACGAGTCGAGAACTTAAATTATCTTAATCCAATGAAATTAAACTTAATTCCAATTTAGCCAAAAATTAGAATTTCAAAGTTAGAAGATCCAAGAATTAAAGTTATCAACTTAGGGAAAAATCCAAGGACACCATTTGTCCAAAAATAAACGAGTCCGAAAACGCGGGGCGTTACATCAGGATTCAACTCCTATAAATAAGGAAGTAAGTCAAATCCTGAAGATATGCTCACAACACTCTACAATTTATACTCAACTACTCTGATTCTGTCTTAAGCATTGGAGCTTGTGTGGCAAGAGCCACACCGGTCTTTTAATGCTATTCTGTTTTGCAAGTCTCGTGGATCCCTTTTATTATAGAAGATTGGTGTGAATTTGGCAGAATCCCAGGAGGCCAAATTTCTGCATCAACAATTGACGCCATCTGAGGGGACGACTAAGATTTAAAAGTCAAGACGATTGACGATGAATTGACCGGGAACTACTTAGATCTAAAGAGATCTTAGGATAAATGAATCGACATGTATTCTAGAGGCAGACAACAACTTTGTAACAACGAATGCCATACGACTCAGAGGCTTCCCCTACCTGAGGTAGCCGAGAAAAAAACAAATCAATAAGTTCTGAGACATGACCCATAACGAACGAATAAACAAATTCTAGGACAGATCCAGGATGAGATAAATCGACAGATTCCAAAATAAACTCTGGGTTAAATGAGTCAACAAATCTCAGAAAAGAAAAAGCAACTGATTAACATGCGGAGTTTCTACTTTAGACGATGGTAAGTTTGCTGTGTAATTTTGGTTGTTTATTATTACGAGAGTTTAGGTTTAATTTTCTGTAACCGCATATTTGGTAGATCGTATGATTCAGGAATGATTTTTTGGTAACTACATGTTGATATTTGATGGAAAAAATACATACATGCGCAGCGGAAGTGAGTAAGAATCGAAATAACAATCTAGATGCATAATAAAACCTAGGATTAAACATGCATGATCATACATTATGATGCTTAGAAATAATTAGAGAAAAATACAAACCTTTGTAGCTTTTCAAAAATCTTCAAATAGCTCCAATGAAGGACCACCAAGAGATCTTCCTAGCTATTCTCAAGGCTTGGAATAGAGTGGTGGGACTCTTTTTAGAGAAGGAAAAAATTAGARAAAAGTGGAGCTAAAAGGAGTTATGTAAGCTTTTTGAAAACACATCAAATGGCCAAAGGTTCCAAGAGATYTTGATGTTTGAACAAAAGCCTTCTTAAATAGGCAAATTACATGCAACTCTTGCATGTCAAAGTTCACCAAAAGCTTACAACACATATTCCACTCATGCATGGCATGACTMAGTGTCAAAATGCATGTCTAAGTTCACCAAAAGCTTACAACACACATTCCACTCATGCATGGCATGGCTAAGTGTCAAAATGCATGTCTAAGTTCACSAAAAGCTTACAACACACATTTCACTCATGCATGGCATGRCTAAGTGTCAAAATGCATGTTTAAGTTCACAAAAAACTTACAACAYACATTCCACTKAKGCATGCATGGCTAAGTGTCAAAAAGTGGATTTTTGAGATTATTTAAATGTTCCACTCAACAAGTTAGTGGAATTTTCCACCAACTTGGTTAAAAACATTATTTTAATCTACTTTAGTCAACCTTT